TTTGATCCTTTTAGCCAAGAATATGACGATTACGTCAAACACAGAGCCCATGAAATACAGGACTAGTGTTAGTCCGTGCAGTCGAGTCCGGAATTTATCGGAATCATAGACCAGACAATTGCCGGTTTTGCCGCACTTGGACTCCCATACCTCGCACGCCGTGTTAGTCACCGCACCGTAGACTAATGGGTACGGTATGAACGCTGTATAATACAAAGTTAATAAATAGTAGCAAATATAAGTTTAATTAAATAAAGTACCGAATAATGAGTAGACAAATCCGTTTAACCCTACGGCAAGACTTTTGTCAAATTTATCCACAATTCTGGTTATTAGATAAAGTTTGTATTAATTATGTGTTTATATTTTAAATACTGTTAATAATGCCTGAAAGAGATGATAGCATTTCCAGTTCGGGCCAGAGTTCCCATTAGATTACTGACACCGAAAAGTGTGATATAAGTCTCAAACTTATTGCCACAACCTGTGCTACAGTAGCCTTCAGTGGCCACTCCTTGTCCACCCACACAATCACACATTGAGTATTGCTATACAATATATTGAATAAATATAAATAAACAATAAAAAGCACATAAGTATTGAGAACTTACAGGTTTACCATCAGTTGACTCTATGATGGACTTACATCCGGCAAAACACGGCGAGAAGTAATTAGTAAAGTTATCCGGACCACAGATGGGATGAAATGTTTGAACTGAGCAGGCACAGTTGGAATTGCACATGGATTGTGTGTCAAGACCACTAATTTATTAACACGAATTTATTACAATTTTTATAAATGCCATAACTGCATAAATAGGTTATACTGTACTTAGCATTACTGATGGGAAGTGCGGCGAATGGTGTGGGCGGACAGCCCAGGAATAGGGCCGATATGAAGCCAATTGTGCCCATCAACTCAATCACTGTTATGAATGATGTCAATAGTATAGGACCCGGCTGTACATAAGTTATAAAGGCTCCGCCTAATAGGATTCCAGTTGCCGAGGGAATTATACCCACCAGACCTGTATATATTAAAAATATTTTTATTATTATTATTAATACAAATTTTTTATTTATTTATATTTGTATTATTGTATCAATTTAGATAGTGAAAGGGTTTATTACTATTGCTATTTATAGTTTGTTTTGTATGTTTGTAAACAAATACCTGAGAATAAGTTGGCAGTGGAGGCTGACTTTTTGAACTGGGACTCCATGTATTTTGGTTTGAAAGTCATATAACCCAGTACACCGAATAATCGCAATGTGGTTCCCAATACATAGCACACGTAAATGGGATTTTTTAATAAACGGATTAGTCGTTTGGACAAACCTTAATATAAATTTTAATTTAAAATAAGTTTTTTAAAACATATCAATGAATACATACTTAACTCGACATGAGGTTTGGGTTTGGGTTTAGGTTTAGGTGTTATTTGTTGTTTATTATCATTAATATTGTAGATTATCTTTTTAGACTTTGGGTTTCGTAAATTAGCCGGAAATAAAAATAACGGCAAACTAAATATAAGTATTAACAAGGCAAATATAGCAAATCCCAGCCACCATGCTCCCACCCATCGAGGATCCCTTTTGTCAGTTATACCAGGGTCAACTAAGACACATTTAATTAATTTTAATTAGTATTTAAGGCTCAAATTATAAATGAATACAAACTCAAAGGGTTTTCATAATATCGCAAAACGACTGATGAAAGTAGAAAAGCGATTGTCGGACCCAATAGACGCATACATCCAGTAAAACCTTAAAATACAAATATTAGCAAGGTTATCGGGATGACTAAAATTTAAAAATTCTTATATTTACTGATAAAAAGTGGTGACTTCTTCTTCTTGACGCTGTCATCGATGAATGGCATACCGATGCCCCAGAAGGCCGCCCCTCCCAACCCGTTCAGCGCGGTTGCCGACCACAGGAATATGACGGGTATTACGGAACTCTTGGATTCACTATTTTTATCGCAACTACTGTTTGGGTCGCGAGTGTTATCACAGAATTCAATGGACTTATTAGTGGCTATAGAGGCCGTCAATAGGTGGGTCGCCGGTCCGTATATTAAATAGGGAACGGTAGCTAAAAAGCAGCCCACGCCTACCAACACCATACACCAGGCTATGAGTCGGGGCCGGTGCACCTTGTTAGCAATGTAGCCAAATATGGGACGGGATATGAGTCCCATAACGTCGTCAGCAATCAGTATAAAGCCGGACACGAGGCTGTCAAAGGCGTACCGTTTCTCGAGAGTGGTCAGGGAGGCGACCATATACATGTAGGA